GGATATTGTTGGTGACAGCTGCAACACCTGAATAGGTAGCTGTAGCTTTCACGTGGACATAGAAATGGAACATTTTCTCAGAATTGAGCCAGCAGGGAATGAAACATATGGCAGGAAGTGGGAGAAGTGAAGACTAGTTTCTATAACAAACCCCTCTGAGTTTTGACAAGGCTCTCTGATACACTGTCAAACCACCCCAGGGCTGAGAGGCAGGTAACTTCTCCATCTTAGTCTGAGCACTAAGATTTGCCTGAGGAAAGAACTTTCTTACATTGTTATATAAAAAAAAACAACAAAAAAACAAAAACTGTGACTTCTTCATGATTAGAGATAACAAAGGAGTAATTTGTAACTCCAGCTGCTCATCAGAGTCACCTGAATAGATGCTTAGACCAGCCCCTCCCCCTCCCCCCTGGGATATTTTAATTCAGTAGGTCAGGGATGGGGCTCAGGCATCTGTTTTTTAAGATGCCGTTCTGGTGTTTCTGATGTACAAAAAGCTAGCAGAAACGTATCGGAGAATCTAATTATCTAATGAACGACTGTTTTAGAAGATGGACTCTAAGATGTCTGCCAGTACTGGGTTTATGTGAGTGGGTGAAGATAAATCTTCCCTTGGAGGGGTCAAAATCTGAAACACATAATAGGTATGATAAATGTGTAAAGTGGCCTGTGAAATGTAATAGGCAGTGGTGCGGATTGTGGCATATTGGAGAGCGAAGCTCTATTGAAAGGGCTCTGTTAATGAAACATATCTGTGGACAGATTTGGCCCTTGGTCTTTACTTTTACCTGAGTCTAAAGTCTTCTGGGGAGGTTGGGGGTGAGGGGGAAGATTCTTCTCATGCCTGGAGTTTTCTTCAGCATCTCCAGTGTGAAATACTCAGTGCTATTTTCTTTTTGAGGTTTTAAAAAACAACGTTAAAGCATTAAATGTAAGAAGTGTGTCTTGTAGATTGCCTTTCACAAAGATGGAGGAGAGGAATGTGGTTAAAATGGATCCATTTCCTGCTCTCATTTTATCCACTAGTTTGCCCCATCTGATTACACACATGTCTGGGGCAAGTTTAAGTCAGATGTGGAGAAGCAGGGTATAGTGAACTTGACATTCATTTTATCTCAATTTCTTCCACTCCTGGATTTATTACTAATCCTCTAGGACAGTGGTAAGTAAATATCAATTAAGATAAGAGGAATATAAAGGAACAGGAAGCACTTCAAGAAGATTTGAAGAACTATTTTAAAGTTGGAAGTATTTTAGGGGCATCTGCTGAAAATGTTGCCTAACTGTGGTATTCCTTTTTTTCACTTTGGGGCAATGAAATTTTATGAGCCACTAAATACATATTTTGACATCTGGCTTCGCTGCTTTTTTTTTTTCTTGAATGCTGTAAATTCTCATCATGAGAATTTCCTTCTTGTCAATCTTTTGATACTACACTCTCAATCATTTTCTGGGTGATTTACAGATGGTGGTACCTAATTGCCTTAGGCCTTAGTTTCCTATTAATTCTCTAGGCTAGGGTAAGGCAAGGAATGGAAAGGCAAGGAATGAAAACGTTAAATTTTGTGTGAAGACAAGCTAAGTTTGGGCCTTCCTTAACTATGTAATTTTTATCCTTGTGCCTGTTTCATTTGTTAATGTAAACTCTTATATTTAGCATTATTTAGACATAATTTCTTACAGATTTGAAGATTCTCTTGATTTAAAATTTCATTCTGACACCTCTAGTCTTAACTACAGCTACCAATTTTGGAACTCTGATCCATGTGAGATTCTGAGATGTTTTAATTTTGAATTTGTTGATTTTCTTTTGTAGAGAAATTAATTTTACATTGACATAAGGTAATGACTGCTCTTTTTTTATGAGTAAATTTTTTAAAGTTTTAAACTGAATATTTATGAACATCAAATAGTTTTAATTTCTATAACTGATAAAGTATGTTTATGCTGCTTGATATGAGGAAAATATGGATTAACAATAGGTACTAGTTGTTTTCATGGCTATGAAATGAAAGTTCCTTCTATTATTTTGCATTTTAGGTTATCAGCTCAAGGGTAAGGAATAGCTCTCTGTCTCTTGATCAGAGTGTTTTTTTTCCTCCTTTGTGGCTATACTGCCTGATTCCCTTGTGATTTTTATTTTCTTATTGGAGTCCTGGTTCTGTGAGCTCTTGTTTTGGCCTGTGAAGTTTTTAGATCAAGAGCCAGGTGATGAATAGAAAATGACTAGTCACACATCAAAACTGGCTGTCTAGAGTGCATGAATCTTTTTCTCTTTTACCTATCTCTTCTCAAATATTATAGATTCCTCTGTTAGTATCTTTAAGAGTTCCACTGAAACGTGTTCATTTTCACAGGGAGAGGGACCTAGTAACACACACCATTACACAACCTCTAAGGACTCAAATGAGGAAGGTTCTGGAGTGAGTCTATAACTACATGTGCTAGGAAATTTAGGGTAATGTGTAGTCCCAGCTCTCTACTAACTGCTTTCATTAATGAAACAGAAATGTGATGGAATCCTGCATACGTATGTATACTTTCAGGAAATCTCAGGATCCCTCAGGCACACCTTAATGTCTGCGATGTCAACGTGGAGCCCTGGCTGGTCATGTTAGTTCTGTAACTGATATTGCCTAATCTTAGGCACTGCTGCCCCAGTGTGAAAGAATGTGTCTCAGGTGGGTTACTCTTTGCATTTACCAGGCAAACTCCTTGGGATGTGTAGAGGCACAGAGTTCATTGCTGAAGCAAACTACAAGAACTCTTAGGACAGCAACATACTTAGGACTGCAGTGAGAAGCTGGGGGATGGGAGATTGTACTAAGTTGCTAACATTTCCCAGCAACTGAGAACAACTAGGTGTTTCTTTTCTTTCTTTCCTTTTTTTTCTTTTTTCTTTCTTTTTTTTTTTTTTTTGGTGTTTCTTCTAGACTCTATGAAGGGGTTTTCACTTCATTTTATTTATTTATTTATTTATTTTCTTTCACTTTTGACTTTACAATTGGTGAGGAAGGTTTTGCCAGCCAAGGATTAGGATTCTGACACTCCGGAATCCTAGCTAATTGCTTTGGGGAAGACATTCAACCTATTTGCCTGAGGATTAACGACCAGTTTTGCTTTCTTGACTTTCCTAAAGAGAACTGCTTTATTATGTAAGTCTGGCTTTGGTCAGGGCTAGAAGTTAGGAAAACAGGTCCAACTTTGAGGGGCAATGCTTGACCGACTCTAAGTTTTGTCCTTTGTTTTCATAGGCTGCTTCTGTGCCACTCACTGATTTTTACTTTCACTACCATTATGTATATCAATCCTACAAAATTTGTTTAAGCTATTAGAATAGTTTTTTATTTCATTGCCTCTTGCATCTGAGCATAGCTTAGCCAGAGAGCCACATTGCAGTGAGCACGTTATTGATTATTTATGAAGACACCCTAGGCATTGTATTAAATAATTATTAGCTCTTTTTTTTAAATCAAATTGGGCTAGTCATATAACTGAAAAGATTAATAGGAGCAGGGGCAGCAAATGAAGAAACAGGAAGGCCAACTTGCAAATCTGATTAAAATGTCTAGTATATTGAAATTGAGGAGAAGATGTAAAATTAAGAAAGTTACAAGCAGGAAATGGCAAACACCAGCTGAGGCGATAGGGAATGCCATATGTTATATGTTCTTCATGCTTTTTTTTTCCCTCTTGCTTTTTTCAAAAAAAGACTATATATAAAATACACACATTATATATATACATGCATACATTACCCTGGCACATGTATCATTAAGGATCTCCTTGGAAAGACAAGTTGATATATTTATTTTTTGGAAACAAAAATTCGGAGTTATTTTCTGCAGCATCAGGTTTGCATTTATACCAGTAATCCCATGACTCTATTCATTGTCGAAGATTTAAAATTCTAGTCAGTTTTCTTTTGGTTTTCCTGTTGGATTTTATCTGTCCAAGTTCTGAGCTCTGCTGTCTCTCTGTGTTTCTGTTGATGAGCATCCAAGGAATAGTTTTGAAGCCTGTTCCAATCTATTCTTCCCACAATATTTGTTTAACACGGGATAAACAACTGATCACAAAGGATAAACAATGATAGAATATTCTTAATCTTATGGTATTAGGGCCATGCAAATCTGGGCAGCATTTATTAAAGGAAGGCAAATGTGCATTTTATGTTATTTATAATGTAGAATTGCTTTTGGATGTCAAAATGAATTATCCCATTTATATTCCCTGTTTAGATTTATTTTACAAATTTGACATTTCCTTCTGAAATTCACTGTTCAAAACTCATCTACATATTTATATTTTTTCATCGTATGCTGCTATAAACAATAATCAATAATGCATCCAATAAAAAGTCTAGAATTGCTAGTTGTTAAGAAAATCAACAGCTTTTGAAAAAGGAGCAGCTATTCACCCTATCGGCTCATCTACATTTCTCCGGGCCTTAAATGTCTTTGACCTCCCTAGTTTGCCTTCCAGATGGCAGTAGCAACTAAATTTTCTCTACATGTTCTGTATTTATGATTTCATAGAACTCATTAAAAAAAAAAAAAAACAACAACTCTCAGCCCTGATTATCACTTAACAGATTTACAAAATTACATCAAGAATGTTCTGCCTCTGCATTACAAAACAAATAACAACGATGTTTTCTTATTTCAGAAAAGAGCGCACCATTTAGGTGACTTTGCCTTGTTCCATGGCTTAGTTCTCTGCCATTTTGTAGTCCCAGAATCTGTAGGGACAGTTCTCCTTTCCTATGGACAATGAAAGTGGGCTCTACGTAAATAAAGAATTATGTTTCACAGTCACCACACACTTCATTCTGGATGTGACATTCTCTTCTGGAAGACCTATTTGTAGAAGGAAAGGTTACTAGTTTAGTCAAAAATTGGCAGTGACTTAGTATGTCAGCTTAAGCTAAAAATAGAATGCAACAAAAGCTCTTATTTAAATATTATCTAGACAATGATGACTTTTTTTTTTCCATACAACCCAAAAGTTACTCTTTATTAGTGTTCACTTATTAGTTTGATTGGCTCTTTTTCAATTTTTCCCCTTTTAATTTTTATTCATTTAGCAAACACTAAGCTCCTACTATGCCATAAGAGATGCTAAATAAATGTTAGGTGAAGGGAAAATATTCTGAAATTCTCAAGTCACTCCAGCACTCTAAAAAAAACATATATAAATCTTCATGCTCCCCCCTTCTCCATTCTTGGCCCCGCCTCTTCTCACATCACAGGTCGCTAAATGCTCACATGACCAAGAACTGAAGCACAGTCTGAGATGGCCTGTGATTAATGCAAATGTCTGATCCACTAAGAGGTCATCTTTTAAGGCAGGTACTAGTTCTCAGCCTGAAACACCCTAGCGGGTCTTCAGCTTCATCTGAGGATATGCCACAGTGATCATGCCTGCTATAGAGGACACGAGACCTCCAAGTCCAATGATGCCAGGATTGGACTTATAGATCCCTAGCTGGTCCAAAGCGTTCAGAATATCACAGAAGTTCTTCACTGTGTCCAGGAGCAAGGGAGGATGCTGCTTCAGAGCTTGGAATAAAAGAAGGAGAAAGGACTGGAGCCATTCTGTTTCCTTGTTAGCCACATTGTACTCAAGAGGATCCTGGGGTGATGATTTCTCCCTCTTTGCCCTGCTGTGTGCAACCCGTTCCATCTGCAGGGAGATTTCATACAGATCCCTGCCCAGGCTCAGCAGGAGAGAATAGTAGTAGTGGTGGGCAGTCCCTGTTCGCCATTTCTCTTTGTTGATGCCAGAGGCGAGACCTACACTCCTCACCCAGAGGATGGTGTCACAGATGAAATAAATCACACGGTTCAGGTTGGCCAATGTCAGGCACAAGCGGAGTACCAGGTCAGTGGCATGAATGCTCTGCTCAGTCGCCTGCACAGCATGTACCACATTGCCTAGTCTGAACCATTTACGGCCAGTGCTCACACTGGACTCCAGTTTCTTGAGCTTCATTACCACCTTCTCTTTGCCAGCTTTAGGCTCTAACAAATATCTAAGCAACATGCATGTGTATTGAGTGGCTCTGAAGAGCCGGTCCCGGCCCTGGGTCTGGTTGGTGAAGCGAGTGAAGGCGTCCATGGCGCCCAGCCCAAGGCCACGCGTCGCACCGGGCTCAGTCGCGGGTCCTCTGGGACGCCGCCGGGTCCCTAGGGAAGGTAGACAATGATGACTTTAACTAGCACAGTTACCTAGACCAACAACATTTTTTTTTTTTTTTAAGAGACAGGGTCTTAGCTATGTTACCCAGGCTGGAGTTCAGTGGCTATTCACTGGCCTGATCAGGGTGCACTGCGGCCTCCAACTCCTGGCCTCAAGCAATCCTCCTTTATTAGCCTCCTGAGTAGCTGGGAACTGTGTCTGCCCTTACCTAGACCAACATTATATACGGAGTACTGGTGTGGATACAAGCATTATAATAATTACCAATTCAGAATGCCAAAAAGGTCTTGGATCTGGGGATTATATAGGGTTGAGGATTATAAAATCTATGATAATCTTGGATTATCAGACAAAGCCTGAGTTACTGGATGTTTCAGGAAAGTGTCCTCTTCCTCCTCTTTCATTTTCTTAAATAAGTAAATTGTCTACCTATGTCTCGGTTGTCTACTCTATTTCATAAATGATAGTCCAGGCCAGGAAAATAGAAGCTGGAAGTAAAGAAATAAATAAAAACGTTGTCTTTATATTATAAATGAAATAGTGGTTATAAACACAAAATCTCAGGATAATTGGACTGACAAATGTTATCGGTCCTAGCTAATCCTTTGTCTCAGTCTTCACAATGAGAGACACAAAAGAGCTGGGAGAAATGGATGCCCTTTGTGTTTCTCATGGGAGAAAGAAGAAAAACTGAAGGAAATAAGGACTATGCCAGGGTACGATTAAGCAATTAGAACATTGTGACATCTAAAGGAACTCTAGTATCAGGAGAACAATTGAATGAGAAAATAAATTACTGAGAATAAAGCAGTCTGCAGGTTTTGGAACAATTTGGAGGTATATGAGAAAGAAAGAAGACATTTTGGAATTTTAATGTAAGATGAGAACTGAAATAGACCTATATATTCCTTTCTGTCACTCTCTTTTCTCATTTCTTTCCAAATCATCATGGTGAAGGTCAGTGAGAAGAGCTAATCTGGGCTGTTTCTCATGAAGGTGTACACCAGTCATCCAGAATGTCAGTCTCCCTTATTCAGGGTGATTTTGATAAATGTGCTTAAATAAATAAACATCCCCATTTCAGCTAAATCATTTGGTGGGAATTGTAGGGTAACATGCTGCAGTAGGAACTAAGTGACATTGCTAGTCCTCAGAAAAAGTGAGAATGGAGTTTTTGTGGTTGTAAATACCTATGAAGGGTAAGTTTCTATTGTTTGTTTTTTTACAATGCTATTTGCATTCGGTGTGATGCAATCAAAAAGGAACTGAGTATTCCAGGAGTAGAAAGATATAATAGATGAAATGACAGACAAGAAAGGGGAAAGACAGGAAAAGCATTTTAAAATTTTGTAACATTTCCAGAACATTGGAGGCTACTTTTTAAAAAAGTTTGTTTTAATTGATCTCTCTCTGTTGTATGTGCTCCTCAACTGAGCTATATTTTTTTTTTTTTGAGACAGAGTCTCACTTTGTTGCCCAGGCTAGAGTGAGTGCCCTGGCTCGCTTAGATCACAGCAACTCATACTCCTAGGCTCAAGGATTCCTCCTTCCTCGCCTCCCGAAGTAGCTGGGACTATAGGCATGCGCCACCATGCCCGTGCGTAATTTTATATTATATAGCTACATAATATATAATATATATATATAATTAAATATATGTTGATTTCCTATTGTAGAACGCGCGTCTCGCTCGCTCAGGTGGTTCGAAACCCTGCTCAAGCAATTCTCCTGTCTAGCCCCTCCCTAGAAGTGCAGGAACAGGCGTGAACCACTGCGCCCAGGCCCAAACATAATTCTTATGATGAAGTGTACCTGTTGTCAACCCAAATAAGTGACTGAGGCAATAGTCTCAACGAGGGATTAAGCCAAGTGAGACATGCCCAGGAAAAGCACAAACCACAGAAGGCATCGTGGCCTGTGCTCTCTGAGGAGGATGGAATTCGTTATAGGAGAAGCGTACAGAACAAAAAAAAAGAGGAGAGGGATGGGCAGGGAGGCAAATGGTTACATTCTTGTGAGACTTTAGTAGTATTAGTTCCCTGGGAAATCTACATTTTACATAAGATAAGGTGAATGTTTGAAGAGAAAAAGAGAGTAAAGGAAAAAATCAATTATGCAGATGTTCCTGGGTAGGTGGAAGAATGATTGATCTTGTCTTGTCTCTGTTCTGCACCTGGGAAGATAAACTTCTAATCAACATTATTAGTGTGGAATTGAACAGGCTTTAGTTTTAGGAGCTAGACATAGCCTACAGACCTAAAGATACAATATGAACATCCTTGTTTATGGGAGGCCAGCAAGGAATTTCCTTATGATCTGTGGGGAGAGCCCTTGTAGATTCCTGAGGCCTTTTACCTTTCTGTGGGGATCTGGTAGTGCATAATGTTAGTAACAGTGTGCATTTGGAAGGGGGTGTTGCATGACTCAGCCTCCAAACTTGACCTTCCCTTTTGCATAAAGAGTTGGGGGGGAGTCCCTGAGATTTTTCTTTTTCTTTACATCTTTACAGTAGTATTAAAGTGTTATTGGAAGAGTCCTATTTCTTCCAAGATGTTTAAGTTTCTCAGTCTTTTAGTCCTTGTGGTTTAACCATTCAGAATTGATTTATTCAGGTATTCAAAAATGTCCCATTGAAATGTAAATATAAGGTAGTCAAGAGACTGCCTTATGCTTCTATCAGTTGAAACCAGGGTGGATGGGTGAGGATAGGCTTACTTCAGTAAGATAAATCCTGCTTGAATGTACTGTGTTTCCCCAAAAATAACACCTACCCATAAAATAAGCCCTAGCAGGATTTCTAAGCATTTGGGCAATATAAGCCCTATCCTGAAAATAAGACCTAGTGATGGGTGTGGCTATGCAGCGTATCTGCGCAACCCATGCATTCTGTTGCAGAGTGGTAAAGAAGACGAGCAGGTTACATGGATAAGAGTTGCTCATTTAATGAGAGCTCTAGTGCTCAACGTGAGAGATTGGGGCCAATGGTTCTAAAGGAAATAGAGTCGCAAGAAATTCAGGATGGAATTCAGGGTTTGGAGAGTTATGATGATGTTTCAGAAGAAGACGGCTTAACTATATTTGAATAAATGTAGGTTGTTGTACCGTACTTAAAAAAAAATAACACATCCCCTGAAAATAAGCCCTAGGGTGTCTTCTTGAGGAAAAATAAATATAAGACCCTGTCTTATTTTCGAGGAAACACGGTAATATAGACTAACTGTGAGGTTGGGAGAAGGGACAACCATGTTCTAAGAAGATAGCTGAGCAGGGAGGTGAGAAATTGTTACGTAGATAGACAGTCTTGTAACTTGCTAAGAGAACTAGTTAGCAGTTGAATATAGCTTACATTCTAAAATTGAACAGATGAGTTACTAAAATCGTTGCTTTGGGGGGCAGGTTGAAGAATTTTATGTCGTTCATCATCTTACTGAGAATCATATATAAACAGGCTTACTTTCTATTTTAAAATAAAGAAACCAGAGGGCTCTGACAGAAGTACATTGTAATTGTGACCATGTGTGAAACCCAAATATAGGCTATAACAATATTTCTACCTGCCCCTGCAGGAACTAAGACATTTGGGAAACTACTTTCTCAAATTTCAAATAAACTAAAAAAATTCAGAAAATATAGGAAAGTAAAGAGAAAGAATTACATGTATTATTATCTTCCAAAGATAACTGCTGTTACTATTTTAGAATTTTTATTTTAGAATATTTATTTCCAGTCTTTTAAAAAAATTAATGTTTTAAATTATCTTTTATTATGAAGGAAATAGATAGCCCTTGCACAAAGTTTACGATTCAGATAGTATAAAGAGAAAAAGTCTTTCCAAACCCACTAACTTAGAGATGGCCATGGTGAACATTTGGGTGTACAGTATTTCCTTCCTGCATTTATTTTTAATCTGTACAGATGAGATGTGGCAGACTACTGGCTGTCCCTAAAATTCTTTCTGCTTTTCTTTCTGGACACATGACATTGCAGCTAAAAACTGTATTTTCCAGGTGTCTCTGAGGCTAGATGTGGCCATGTGACAAAGTTCTCATCAATGAGACATGAGCAGAATTCATGTGTGCAATTTCTGCTCATTTTCTGCAAGGTGATAGCCTTGGACCTGTTCCTCTGTTTCATTCCTACTTACGGGGCCTGATTGTTAGGAGGTAACAGGAGTTCCAGGCTAATCAGGAAATGGCACATACACCACCCCAATCTGGGTCCTGACTACACTCTTCATCTGGGAGAACCCATGTGCTGTTTGAAGACTTCCAAAGGGATACCCAGGCAGAAGGAAGCCTAAGTTTGTAACTCAGAAGTTAAGAGCTAACAGTCCCTTGGATTTAGTGGCCTTCCTTCCAAACAAGTTGATGGGACCAAGGGGAAATTTGAATTTGGATGTCAATATTTTCATAAATACTCTATAAATTTATACATGCTCTGTAAATATTTTAATAAATACTCTACATTAGTTTTGGCATATATTCCTATATCATTAACTATTCTTTGAAAACATGATCTTTAGCACTTGTATGATTACCATATGAATAAACCATTATTTATTGGACATTTTAGTTGTTTTCAATTTTTATTATAAGAATTCCTTGATATTTATACACTTTTTTTTACTTTGACTTACTAATTTTGTACTTGGGATAAAATGCTGGACGTGGAATTACTGAGTCACATAGGTCATGTACATTTTAAAGACTGTTGACATATTTTGGGGTTAATAAACTGTGACCACAACTGTGAGGTACTGGAGATGGATCTGTGAGTCTTTTCCCAAAAGACCAATTATACATATGGCAGCAAGGGATCATAGAATGCTTGCACAAAGATCATCAAAAGTCCCTAATTATCAAGAAATTATGCTTGTTTACTCTCTAATGAGTCTGTTAGAGAACAGAGGGGTGCTTGATTTTCAGTGCATTGAATAAATTGAGAAATTTGAGATTGGCTATCAATATGCATCTTGGCTTAAATAATATCATACCTCTGCAAGCTCCTGATTTCTACTTCAGTGGAAGTGACAACAGGGGATGGAATCTTTCTTCATTTGAAGCAATTGCCCACTTGCCACCTTACAGCTTGGCTGTAGCCAAGAGAGCAAATGCTTTCCTGGCAGCCATTCCTTATACCAGGAGCAGCAGTCCAGAAGGGGGTCCTAGATGGATCCTAAAGTATCTCATCTTTAGCAGAGGTCTGGAAGTTGTGAGTTGTTATTGAAATGCTATTTAGCATTGTCTGTATTAGGGCATAAAGGCAGACTAGAAGCATTGGCTTAAAACTTCCATCTCAGCATGGTGAGAAAAACCTAAGTAAAACTTAGCTCAGCATGGGGAATCAACCCTGGTTCTGGTAGCTTGTAACGTTAGTGACTATTTGAAGGCTTCAATCACACATATGAAATCTATACCGTGGTGAAGGCATTACCGCGTCCATTCACAGATGTGCCACTTGCTCCTACTCTGAAAAACTTTTTTTCCTATTTTATATTACAGTTTGCAGAATTACCTTTGATATGGATTGCACAATGAGTTTTTCTACCCATATTTCACAAAAAAACAAATTTTACATTTTTATTGTTTCTTTAAAAAGTTCTGATTATCAAGACTATATTATTCCAATTACTGTAAATGCTATCTGTAGCAGGAAAGTAAATAACTTTCTAGGAGTGTTGCAAATGCTAAGGAATGTACAGCAGATCTGCACAGTAGTGTGCAAGTCAAATTCTCCACATCCTTCACTCCAACTTGGTTTATACCATTCTGAATTCATAGAATAGCTCATCTAATTGGCTTTTTGCTATAGGCAGCAAGGAAATGACCTTGGTTTATTGCCTTAGAGCTAAGAATAGGAATGTAGTTTCTCTTAACACTGTCTATGTTTCTTGGACAGCAAATGTAGTCATCATTGCCTATTCCCCCTCACATCCACATATGCTACCTACCAGCATTGCAGTGGCAACAGCAATACACTCAGACTTCCCTGCTGCATGTAGCCCAGGTGAGTGCTGACTCCAATATGTTCTCCTTGCTTGCTAATAATCAGAGGAGCATTTGTATCATAAGCTTGGACTGGCCAGTGAA